CACAATCTGACTTGTGATATAATTTTACTTAAATAGTAATTCCTTTGGTCGAGGCAATTCAGTTTGTACAAAAAAGAAGAGGGTTTGATTGAGTTTCTAACTTCCAGCCCCCTTATTTTCCTTCGAAAAAGTTTTTTTCCCAAATTTATTCAATAAGAAACCTTTTTTTTTTTTTTAGGCTTCTGGGTTTTGCAATTTGCATCAACCAGCTCTTAAGTAGGTTAAAAATGAAGGATTCCACTAAAATGTAAAAACCCCCCAGCTAGTAACGTTCCTATCTTACCCCCAAAAATGGTAGATCACTACGGGGAAAAAAAAGTTTTCTTTAAAGCATTAAAATTTCTCTAAATGCATGTACTTTTTTTTTTTTTTATAATTGCCATCCCCACAAGGTAGGGTGCCCCAAAAAAGGAACACATTCCCCATTTTTATTCTATAATGTTTGTGCCAGAAGTAACAAAGGGGAATGATGGATTTGTCATTTAAAAAAACAGGTAGGGGAGTTGTAGATGGGGAGTGGAGGTATTGGGTAGAGGCGGAATTTTTTGGGGAATTTTAAATGTCGACAAGAAAGGGAGGGGTATTTTATCCCATACCCGGGAGGTATCCCATCTTTTAGGAGGAAGAAGAACAAAGGGGTATGAGGGAGGGTTTGAGGGATTACATAGAATGAAAGGAGGTAAAGCGCTGGAAATTTATGGGTATGAAGAAATGTTAAAAGCAGGGGGGATTTGTGTTTGGGGTGGTTGGTATTTTTGTTTAATAAAAATTTTGAAAGGGGGAAGGTACCTAGGGTTGGCAAGAGCGTATAGTCCTTTATATAAAGGGGAAGGGGGGCAAAGAGATTGTAAAAATTATGAGATAAGTTTACTGATATACCAGGAAAAGTGTACGGTAGGGTTAATATTGAAAGAATTAGAGGTAAGACAGAATGTAGGATTGTGGATGAGCAAGGAGGTTTTAGAGTGGGTAGGGGATGTGTAGATCAAGTGTTTACATTGAAGCATATATGTGAACAGTATTTAGATAAAGGTAGGGAAGTTTTTATTGCATTTATGGATTTAGAAAAGGCATATGATAGAGGGGATAGGGGAGCAGTGTGGCAGATGTTACAAGTATAAGGAATAGGTGGTAAGTTACTAAATGCTGTAAAGAGTTTTTATGAGAATAGTGAGGCTCAGGTTAGGGTGTGTAGAAGAGAGAGAGACTACTCGGTAAAAGTAGGTCTTAGACAGGGATGTGTTATGTCACCATGGTTGTTTAATATATTTATAGATAGGGTTGTAAAAGAAGTAAATGCTAAGGTGCTTGGGAGAGGGGTGGGATTAAATTATGGGGAATCAAATTCAAAATGGGAATTGACACAGTTACTTTTTGCTGATAATACTGTGCTTATGTGGAGATTATAAAGAAAAATTGCAAAGGTTAGTGGATGAGTTTGGGAGTGTGTGTGTAAAGGTAGAAAGTTGAAAGTGAACATAGAAAAGAGTAAGGTGATGAGGGTTTCAAATGATTTAGATAAAGAAAAATTGGATATCAAATTGGGGAGGAAGAGTATGGAAGACGTGAATGTTTTCAGATATTCGGGAGTTGACGTGTCAGCGGATGGATTTATGAAGGATGAGGTTAATCATTGAACTTATGAGGTAAAAAAGGCGAGTGGTGCGTTGAGGTATATGTGGAGACAAAAAACGTTATCTATGGAGGCAAAGAAGGGAATGTATGAAAGTATAGTAGTACCAACACTCTTATATGGGTGTGAAGCTTGGGTTGTAAATGCTGCAGCGAGGAGGCGGTTGGAGGCAGTGGAGATGTCCTATCTAAGGGCAATGTGTGGTGTAAATAGTATGCAGAAAATTCGGAGTGTGGAAATTAGGAGAAGGTGTGGAGTTAATAAAAGTATTAGTCAGAGGACTGAAGAAGGGTTGTTGAGGTGGTTTGGTCATTTAGAGAGAATGGATCAAAGTAGAATGACATGGAGGGCGTATAAATCTGTAGGGGAAGGAAGGCGGGGTAGGGGTCGTCCTCGAAAAGGTTGGAAGGAAGGTGTAAAGGAGGTTTTGTGGGTGAGGGGCTTTGACTTCCAGCAAGTGTGCGTGAGCGTGTTCGATAGGAGTGAATGGAGACGAATGGTATTTGGGACCTGACAAGCTGTTGGAGTTTGAGCAGGGTAATATTTAGTGAAGAGATTCAGGGAAACTGGTTATTTTTACATAGCCAGACTTGAGTCCTGGAAATGGGAAGTACAATGCCTGCACTTTAAAGGAGGGGTTCGGGATATTAGCAGTTTGGAGGGATATGTTGTGTATCTTTATATGTATATGCTTTTAAACTGTTGTATTCTGAGTACCTCTGCAAAAACAGTGATTATGTGTGAGTGAGGTGAAAGTGTTGAATGATGATGAAAGTATTTTCTTTTTGATGATTTTCTTTCTTTTTGGGTCACCCTGCCTCGGCGGGAGACGGCCGACTTGTTGAAAAAAAAAAAAAATTATTTTATTTCAGCATCATACATGTTTGTACAAAGGAGTATAACAATTGGGTGTACATGCCAAAAGCCCCTTTATATGCAGAGCATTTCAGGCAAACTTAAGAACTTAAGCTAACTTAAGATTAGTAAGGCAATAACAATGCAGTAATTGTACATATGGTCATTATACAAGTTACAATGAATACAAGAAAATTGACTAGTCTCTTAGTTCATGCTACATGGCTTTAATAAGTTTGGTAGAGAAGAATTACAGTTTTGATTATTAACCTAAGGTGGATACATTGGAATGATTAGCATTTGAGAGCATTACAGATATTGAGAGTAAGTATATATTGATTATAATATTTTAACTAAGTTCATAATATGTATTGAACAAATGCACATATAGTTTTTACATTTGTATTTATGATGGGTGAGGATAGGTTAAGGAGATAAGATGTTTTCTAACTGAAGTTTTAATAATGTTAGTTGAGCCAGTGGTTCTGGAGATTTCTGGCAGAGAGTTCCAGATTTTGGGTCCTTTTACATACATTGAGTTTTTGAAAAGATTTAGACTGACACAGAGAATGTCATAGAGATTTTTGTACCTAGTATTGTGTCCATGGGTCCTATTGCAACTGTCAAGAAAGCGCTTCAGGTCGGGAGTTATAACAGTACTGATTGTTCTGTAAATGTAGGTGGTACAGTAGTACGAGTGAATGTTTTGTATAGTGAGTAGGTTTAGATCTTTGAGAAGGGGGGAGGGGGGCAGGGGGTTGTCTAGCTGTGGATTGTGTGATCATTTGCACTGCAACTTTTTGTTGGGTTATTATTGGCTGTAGGTGATTTGTCATTGTGGAACCCTAGTCACAAATAGCATAGTTGAAGTAGGGGTAGATCAGTGAGTGGTATAGTGTAAGTGGTGCTGTGTGTGGTACATAGTAACATATCTTTGAGAGGATGCCAACTGTTTTATTATGTGTTGGATATGGGTGTTGAATTTCAGATTGTTGTCAAGGTGTAGACCTAGGAATTTTCCCTCAGTATGTTTAGCAATTCAAATGACCCTCTGAACTGTAACATCCACGTTTTTTTTTTCCGACAAACCAGCCGTATCCCACTGAGGCAGGGTGACAAAAAACGAAAGTTTCTCTATTTAAATTTAGTAATGTATACAGGAGAAGAGGTTACTAGTCCCTTGCTTCCTGCATTTTAGATGCCTCTTACAACACTCATGGCTTAACAAGGAAGAATTTTGTTCCACATCCCCATGGAGATTAGAGGAAATAATCAAGAACAAGGACTATTAAGAAAATAGAAGAAAACCAGAGGAGTGTGTGTATATATATATATATATATATGCTTGTACATGCATGTGTAGTGTGACCTAAGAGTAAGTAGAAGTAGCAAGACGTACTCAAAATCTTGCAGTAACATCCACATCTCTCCTCAAAATTGCAGGTGCTGTACTTTCCACCTCCAGGACTCTGGTCTGTCCAATAAATTTTCTTGAATCTCTTCATTAATGTTACTTATTCACACCCCAACAGCAAGTCAAGCCATAAAAATCACTTCTCTCCTCTCCACTCCACTGTAATATACTCACACAAACTTGTTGGATGCTCAAGTCCCTACCACTCAAAACATCCTTTACACCCTCCCTCCCTCCCCTCCACCCTTTCCTAGGATGATCACTACCTCTCCCTCTTTTAACCTCAGACTTATGCACCCACTTGGTCAACCTATTCTGCTACATCCTCTTTAATTGCCCAGACCACCTCAAGAACCTGTCCTATGTCCTCTGAATTATGCAGTACCTCTTGTAACTTCACACCACCTTCCAATTTCTACATTCCGAATTCTTTTCTTAACATTGCTCCCAAACGTGACATCTCCACTGCCTCTAGCTACCTCTTCCCTGCTGTGTTAAAAGCTCAAGTCTCACCCATATGAAAGTATTGGTATCACTCTTTTGTTCATTCCCCTTTCTGACTCCATAGATAATCTTTTGACAGACTTTTCATTGCTTTTTATATCTTTTTTTTCCCCTCTTCATCTGCTCTGTGGTTCACCTCATTTCTCATAGACCCATCTTTACTTATAAGGAGAAAACAAGCAGTTGCCTACATCAGACAGATATATTGGTGGTTTTGATACCTCTTCTTATATTGAGAAAATAAGCAGTGAATTTAAGACCCTTTCTTCTAGGAAGAAAATGAACAGTTGCCAACATCAAACAGATATACTAGAGTACTTGCCCATCAGTTAGGAGCTGAGTAATTTTGATAGCACTTCATATTCCTCCTCATTTTAATATGCTGAAAGAGATCCATGATTATTACCCAGACTTGATTATCATTTAGAATATTTGCATGAAGCATTTACCAAGACATTCCTGAAGTCAAGTCTTTCATTGCCTAGATTTTTTCTTACTTTCATCACCTTAGTCTGAACATAGAATACATTTGGAAGGCATTGCATAATGATATCACATAAACAACTATGTACAGTTCAGAATGCAACTGCACAGATTGGCTGGGGTGAGGACATGGGTGAGGTTGAAGTGACTTTGGCATTGGGTCCTGTTGTGACCTTTGAAGTAGGACCCCAGTTTCATCTTGGAGCTCCTGGGGGTACGTCCTTCAAAATCTTCATCGGTGTCAGCCACAAAGACATTCCAGGAATGACAAAGGGAAGCCTCAGCCTCCTCTTGGATTCAGGTCGAGTAAGTACTTTTCATTATATAGTACTATGTAGAAAATTGAGATAATGACTACCTCTTGTAAGGGAAGTAGATAGCCAAAAGATTATTTTTTTTTATAATTCAATCAGATTAAAGATGGAAGGAAATTAACTCATTCTGATAAGTGAAGATTGATATCCATTGTTGGGTTTTGAATAAAAACCCATGACATATTATGACATCAAAATGTAATAAAGTAATGTGTAAAATTTTAATAAGTAAAAGAATAAATTTAATCTTGTGAATATATCTTAGGCTTTTTATGTATAATACACTACAGATTTATACACCCTCCAAGTCATTCTATTTTGTTCCATTCTGTCTAAATGACCAAATCACTTGAGCAACCCCTCTTCAGCCCTCTGACTAACACTGTCCTTTGCCACAGCCACAGTGGTTCTTACAGGAAATCTATCAAAGCACAAATATGAAAAACAGTATAGAATGGGTCAAATAACTAGAGAACAGTTGAGAAATTACTCGTCAGCACTTACCAGCCTGATAAGAAGGTCAAAAAAATTGTATTATGAAAATAGATTACATAACATCAAAGGTGATATGAAAAAAACCTGGAAAACTCTATCTGAAATTCTTGGAACTAAAAAGTTATCCAAAAACTAAGCAAACAAACTAACAAAATCAGACGAACCCCTACTCACTCCAACCGAAACAGCAAACAGACTTAATGTTTTCTTCTCCACCATAGGAAAAAATCTAGCCAACAAAATACCAAGCACAAACGCCCGTCCATCAGACTACCTCATAGGAACCTACCCAAATACGCTATTCCTAGCTCCAACCAACCCCACTGAAGTTATGCTCATCATAAACACCCTTAAAAACAAGGCAGGAGACATAAACAACTTGCCTGCTTTTATGTACAAAAAAGCTTCTGAAGTGTTGTCACCAATTATTGCAACACTCTTTAACAAATCCATTGAATCATCTACCTTCCCAACAATCCTCAAAATAGCGAGGGTCAATCCGATCCATAAAGGAGGTGACCAAGCTGACTTGAATAACTATAGACCAATATCTAACTTACCACTGCTCTCTAAAATCTTTGAAAAATTAATTCATAGACGGATCTATTCCTACCTCGTTTTACACAACATATTAAACCCTTGTCAGTTTGGATTCAGGAATAATAAAAGCACAAATGATGCTATCATACACATGCTAGAACTAATATGTACTGCACTTGAAAAGAAAGAAGTCCCTCTGGGCATTTTCATTGATTTACGTAAAGCTTTCGATACAGTCGACCATGAACTACTGTCCTCCAAATTAATGCACTATGGTATCAGAGGCCACTCCCTCAACTACCTAAAGTCATACCTTAGTAACAGAACTCAATATGTGTATGCAAATGATGCAAACTCCTCCACCCAACCAATCACAGTAGGAGTCCCACAAGGAAGCGTCCTTGGACCACTCCTCTTTCTCATCTACATCAATGATCTACCGAATGCATCACAGCCACTCAAACCCATATTATTTGCAGATGACACTACATATGTATTTTCCCACCCAAATGCAGTCATACTAGCAAACACAGTCAATGCTGAATTACAGAAAATATCTGCCTGGATGATGATTAACAAACTTACCCTGAACACTGATAAAACCTATTTCATTCAGTTTGGAAACAAAGCTGCAAATGATCCAATTAACATTACGCTAAATGGATCATCAGTCTCAAGACCCACAGAGGGAAAATTCCTAGGTATCCACCTTGACAGTAGCCTTAAGTTCCGGACACACATACAACAAATCACCAAGAAAATCTCCAAGACTGTAGGCATACTATCAAAGATAAGGTACTACATTCCACAATCAGCTCTTGTGGCACTGTACCATTCACTCATATACCCTTATTTTACATATGGAATTAGTGCATGGGGATCAAAAACATCAAATCACCTAAAACACCTAATAACCCAGCAAAAGGCAGCAGTAAGAATGATAATAAATTCCCACTCCTGCCAGCATACTCCATTTTCAAAAGCCTGAATCTGCTTACCATTAAGAACATCCATACTTATTCATGTGCCTACTACATACACAGAACAATACACGCAAATATAAACCCTCCACTCAAACTTCTCCTCACCAACCTAAACAGGACACATGACCACAACACAAGACACAGATCTCTTTTTGATATACCTCGTGTCCATATCACACTTTGTAAAAACTCTATGCACATAAATAGCCCCAAAATATGGAATTCATTACCAGAAGATATTAAAGTAACCCAGTCTGAAAATCAATTTAAGACTCTTCTCAAAAGCCACTTAATCACCGTAGACTAAATGCTAAATACTCAGTACACATTTACTCACCTATGTACACCCCAATGGAAATAAGGACCCCAATGGAAATAAGTCACTCTGTCTGACTTTTTTGGGTTATCCTAGGTTCTCTACACACATGCTGCTATGTATGATAATTCTATGTAACTGTATTTGTGTATACCTGAATAAACTTACTTACTTACACCTACCATTCGACTTACGACCTGCTCGACTTACGACCTGCTCGACATACGACCACTCGACTTACGACCGTGTTTTTTATGCCAAATTTCTGGGAAATAAACAACTATTTGTATTGTACACAGTGTTTATCCTAAACCTTACAGTATAAAATACAGTACTAACAACATAAAAAGTAAAGTAAAACATGAAATACCAAAATAAAACAATAAAGTCATTACAGAAATGTTTTGTTGATATTCAGTAGTAAAGTTCGACTTACGACCATTTCGACTTACGACCGGTTTCTCGGAACCGAACTCGGTCGTAAGTCGGATGGTAGGTGTACTACCACATCATGACTGAAACAATCACATTGAACATTTTATCCATTGTTGACAGGAATATAATTGAATCATTGTTTTTCACAAAAGCATTTTATAATAAAAATACGTAGTATATCTTTGTATTATACAAATTTTGATTAATTTATAATTAATATTCTACTGTACAACTATGAAATAATTACTTTCCTACTGTACAACTATGATATACTACTCCTTAGTATTAAGTAAAATGTAAGCCAATAATGTTAAGTTGGCCCATAATGCCAAGGCATAATAGAGGCTCTCTTTGTATTGTAACCCACTATTGTATATACACAATCTCAATGTACTGTTTGCAAAGATTAAATAAATAAATAAATAAATACTGTTCTGTGCTTTATGAAAGGTTGCAGACTAAACAGGCAAGATATGCTGCCTCATAAACATTATTGCTAGTAATTTTGGCCCACTCATTAATGATAACTTACCTAAAGATTAATATATTCACTACTGTGCACCTGTTCTATGTACTGTCAACATGGTCTGTTTTCAAGATAGCTCTAGTCATAATAACTAGCCTAATGATTGAGAAAACTCAGAAAAGTTAAATTTGATGATAAACATTTATTCAACTTATATGTTTAAAATTCCTTGACTTTTAATGATTTATTATATTCAAGGTAATCTTCTCTCCTTAGGTAGATATGACTCTGAAGTTTGACCTTGCTGAGAGAGGAAGGTTCAGTTTATCTCATACTTACAACGCCCCCTGGAATTTTAAGACATCTGCAATTGGTTAGTTAGAAATGTTACTTACCGACCTTATTTTGCTAAGTGTAATGTGGAATATATATCTTTAGTTGCTTTTGTGTTTCTTCCATCTGGTATGAATGTTTTAGTTTCTGCTCTGTATTGGTAATCTCTGTGTAGCTTATCTCTTTTTTTGTGTGTGTGATGTATGCTTGTTTTTAAGTAATTCATTAGCCCTTTTTCTTTTATACATTTTTTCTAGATTCACTTTCAGTATTTGATGTTGTATACTTTCTCAGTGGAACATTTTTTTTTTTAACTCGTGGGTTGTCTCCCATAGAGGCAGGGTGACCCCAAAAAGAAAGAAAACCCTCAAAAAGAAAATACTTTCATCATCATTCAACACTATCACCTCACTCATACATAATCACTGTCTTTGCAGAAGCGCTCAGATACGACAGTTTAAAAGTCAACTTCCAAACTGCCAATATCCCAAACTCCTCCTTAAAGTGCAGGCATTGTACTTCCCATTTCCAGGACTCAAGTCTGGCTAACCAGTTTCCCTGAATCCCTTCACAAAATATTACCCTGCTCACACTCCAAGAGCTCGCCAGGTCCCAAAAACCGTTTCGTTGATTTTTTTTTTTTATTCTTAACACATCGGCCGATTCCCACCAAGGCAGGGTGGCCCGAAAAAGAAAAACTTTCATTATCATTCACTCCATCACTGTCTTGACAGAGGGGTGCTTTACACTACAATTTATAAAACTGCAACATTAACACCCCTGCTTCAGAGTGTGGACACTGTACTTCCCATCTCCAGGACTCAAGTCTGGCCTGCCGGTTTTCCTGAATCCCTTCATAAATGTTACTTTGCTTACACTCCAACAGCACGTCAAGAATTAAAAACCGTTTGTCTCCATTCACTCCTATTAAATGTGCTCACGCATGTTTACTGTAAGTCCAAGCCCCTCGCACTCAAAACCTATACCCCCTCCCTCCAGCCTTTCCTAGGCCAACCCTTACCCTGCCTAACCTCCACTACAGATTTATACACTCTTGAAGTCATTCTGTTTCATTCCATTCTCTCTACATGTCTGAACCACCTCAACAACCCTTCCTCAGCCCTCTGGACAACAGTTTAGGCAATCCTACACCTCCTCCTAACTTCCAAACTATGAATTCTCTGCATTATATTCACACCACACATTATCCTCAGACATGACATCTCCACTGCCTCCAGCCTTCTCCTCACTGCCACATTCATCACCCATGCTTCACACTTATATTAGAGCATTGGTAAAACTATACTCTCATTCATTCCCCTCTTTGCTTCGAAGGACAAAGTTCTTTGTCTCCACAGACTCCTAAGTGCATTGCTCACCCTTTTCCCCTCATCAATTCCATGATTCACCTCATCTTTCATAGACCCATCTGCTGACACGTCCACCCCCAAATATCTGAATGCATTCACCTCCTCCATACTTTCTCCCTCCAATCTGATATCCAATCTTTTGTCACCTAATCTTTTTGTTATCCTCATAACATTACTCTTTCCTATATTCACTTTTAATTTTCTTCTTTTACATACCCTACCAAATTCATCCACCAGCCTCTGCAACTTCTCTTCAGTGTCATCAGCAAAAAGCAACTGTGACAACTCCCAGTTTATGTTAGATTCTTTATCTTTTAACTCCTCACCTCTTGCCAAGACCCTCGCATTCACTTCTCTTACAAACCCATCTATAAATATATTGAACAACCTCAGTGACATCACACATCCCTGTCTAAGACCTGCTTTTACTGGGAAATAACACCCCTCTTTCCTACATACTGTAACCTGAGTCTCACTATCCTCGTAAAAACTCTTCACTGCTTTCAGTAACCTACCTCCATTACCATACACCTGCAACATCTGCCACATAGCCCCCCAATCCACCCTGTCGTACGCCTTTTCCAAATCCATAAATGCCACAAAAACCTTTTTACACTTATCTAAATACTGTTCACCTCTGTGTTTCACTATAAACACTTGGTTTATACACCTCCTACTTTTCCTAAAGCCTCCTTGCTCATCTGCTATCCTGCTCTCCGTCTTATTCTTGATTCTTTCAATAATGACTCTTCCATAGCATTTCGCTGATTATCGAAGCTGAATTTACTAAACAGCCCTTCATATTGGCTATTTCGTAGGATCTGTGCACTTGGATTTATTCTTGTTTGTATGTCATTGGATTGTAATTGGAGTATAATGTTATATCTGAGATTGTTTATAGCTCTGACTGACCCTTTGAGGGTCGGTCACATACAAGTACGTCATTGCAGCCAGGGTCGGTCACGTACTTGTACGCCTAAATTCTAGCATCTTCAAATCTGGTGGAAGAAAGCTGGCAGGCCTACATATGAAAGAATGGGTCTGTGTGGTCAGTGTGTGCAGTATAAAAAACATCCTGAAGCACACTGTGCATAATGAGAAAAAAAAATTCTGAATGTGTTTTTGGTTTAAAACAGTGACTTTCTAGTGTATTTTCGTATGGTATTTATGGTTGTATTCTCGTTTTCTTGGTCTCAATTGATAGAATGGAAGATATATTACAGAAATAGAGATGATTTTGATTGGTTTCACGATGACAAGTACCTTGAAATTGAGCTCAATATAGCAAAAATGATTGATTTTTGCCGATGTTCAAGAGTAAACAAATCAAGCCACATGTCCAATACACGTCAACTGGTGAGTCTAATATTCTTTCACAAGTGCGCTGATATCATTTATACCGTTTTTACAATGATGCAGTAGTATACATAACAGAAAACCTATTTTCTGTGAGAATAAAAATTCAAAATGGAAAGCGAGTAATGTAAGAGGGGCCTTGAGACACGACTAATGAACAAATAAAATGTCATTTCAGTGCTAGGAATGTCTGTCGTGTTTATTCTGGACCCTATTTCGAAACTGGCATCTTTTGAAATTTGAAATTGCCCAAATTGCCAAATTCTGATCACTTTATTGGGTAGTTGAAATCAGTAAATGGGCAGACTCTTGTACTCAGTCGATAGAACAAATGGAGTTCTAAGGAAATAGATATGATTTTAGTCAATTGCAACATTGGAATTGGCCGAAAATAGGGCTCAAAGTGGGTGAAATCGCCCACTTCGAGACCGCAAACTTTACAAGAGCATAATTCCGTAAGTTTTCCATCAAATTTCATAATTTATGTGTCATTATGATCAGAAAAAGATTCTCTATCATTTCATAAGAAAAAATAATTTATTTTCTTTTCAAAAATTTTTCGACCCTGAGAACGAGTTTGGGAGAGGGCCTCTCGACCCTCAAAGGGTTAAAGCCTTGTTATTCATGAAGATCAGGTCTAGCGTATTTTCATTTCTGGTAGGTTATGTTATCTGTTGGCTCAAAGCAAAGCATTTTACAAAGCCCCAATAGTTCTTTGGTATACACGTGTATGTTGGGTTAATGTGCTTCCAGGTACTATTTTTGTTACAGAGCTGTTGTTTGCCATCTTCTATTTAACATAACATAATATTTAATGTAGGAGTTTCAAGCTTCCAAGGCAGATATCTATCTATATTTACTTTTTTATTAACACACCGGCCATTTCTCACCAAGGCAGGGTGACCTGAAAAAAGAAGGAACTCCTTCATCATCATTCACTCCATTACTGTCTTCCCAGAGACACACCTACACCACAGTTAAAAAGCTGCAGCATATCAACACTCCTCTTTCAGAGTGAAGGCATTGTACTCCTAAGGTCCAGGACTCAAGTCCAGCTAACCAGTTTCCCTGAATCCACTCCAACAGCACGTCAAGTCATTAAAACTATTTGTCTCCACTTGCTCCTATCTGACACACTCAGGAACACTTGCTGGAAGTCCAAGCCTCTCACACACAAAACCTCCTTTTCCACCTCCCTCCAACCTTGCCTAGGCTGACCCCTACCCCACCTTCTTCCACTACAGATTTATACACTTTCCAAGTCATTCTGTTTCGTTCCATCCTCCCTAAATGTCCGACCACCTCAGCAGTCCTTCATCAGCCCCCTGGATAATACTTTTAATAACCCTGCACCTCCTCCAAATTTCCAAACTATGATTCTCTGCATTTTATTCATACCACACATTCCCCTCAGACATGACATCTCCACTGCCTCCAGCCTTCTTGGTGTGACATTCCCCACCCATGCTTCACACCCATATAAGAGCATTGGTATAACTATACTCTCATACATTCCCTTCTTTGCATCCATGGATAACAATATGTATCTCCACAGACTCTTCAGTACACCACTAACCTTTCTCTCATCAATTTTATGACTCGCCTCGTCTTTCATAGACCCACCTGCTGACAAATCCACTCCCAGATATCCAAATACATTTACTTCTTCCATACTCCCTCCCTCCAGTCTGATACTCATCTTTCATTACCTAAATTTTTTGTTATCTTCAACACTATACTCTTTCCTATGTCCACCAACCTCTGCAACTTCTCTTCAGAATCTCCCAAAAGCACAGTATCATCAGCAAAAAGCAACTGTGACAACTCCTACTTTGTGTTAGATTATTTATCTTTTAATCCCATGCTTCTTGCCAATACCTGAACATTCACTTCTCTTACATCCCCATCTATAAACATATTGAACAGCCATGGTGACATCATGCATCCCTGTCTAAGGCCTACTTTTACTGGAAAATAATCACCCCCTCTCCTACATGCTACATGCTCCCATGCTATTCTCGTAAAGACTCTACTGCTTTCAGTAACCTACGTCCTTTTCCATATATTTGCTGGCACAATACCCCCCTATCTATCCTATCTTTATCATTCTGTGAATTCTTCTGCCACTATTGAGGGTTATTTATATACAAGGACAAGTTTGGGAGGATATGTAAAGGAAGAAAGTTGAATGTGAGCCATACCCCCGGCTGGGATTGAACCCGCGGTCATAGAGTCTCAAAACTCCAGCCCGTCTCGTTAGCCACTAGACCAGCTAGCCACAATAAGATTCATCCAACTAGGTATATTTCTACAC